ATTCGTATCATGTTTTAAGTGTGGAAAAGAATTTTTGTTCTGGGCTATACACAAACATAGCATATAAATTAATAACTAAAGCTTGTTATTACATAGCAAATTGCCATTGGTGATTGACCGGATTTCGACCCAGGTTCCAGTTCTAAAGTGCTATGCTAGACCATTGGCACCACTACAGTTGTACACCTTCGTGACCGTTTACCTTAAAATTGGAACAATAACAATCCTGAAAACAGCATACATAGTTGACAATAGTGTACGCGTTTTCTTTATTTCTAACGTTTAGGTTAATTGATAAACCCTTATATTTTTTGCATTCCTTTCCCTAAATTTTATTTTCCTTACCACTAAGATAGCAGGAAAACGTTTCCCAATACAGTTGAAAAAATAAAATCAATATTTATTTATTGTGAGAGTTTTAAAACAATCTTTATATTATTATGTTTGTAGTAGTAAGCAATACTTATCAGCTAGGTGTTCAAAACTAACAAAAAATTTTATGCCATTTCGAAAATGATATAGAGATACTGATACAGCAAACAGTTGTATTTCATACCAAACAATTAGTACTCAATAAACACAACAACTAACTCAAATATAAACATTCAATCTATACAATTAGGTTCAGAATTGCAAACTAGAAGATGCATACGTTCCAAGTTCAATCATTGTACAGTATATCTATTGTGCTTTTGACCTCAACTCGATTACTGTTTTTTAACAGTTTGTGTATACAAAATGTTTAGTTTCTTTGCTCAGCTAGATAACATTGTTGTGTTGTCCAAATCTCTGCACATGCCTCTATTGTCACAAGTACATCATCAACAAATCGTATCAAATCACTACTTCTTCAGGGGTAGTTCATTATATGTATACAACTTGATAGAACTAACAACGCACAATTTGTAAATAGCCTGGCTGTATTGCCTTGAAAAGGTCGAACTCACAATTAACTTATAATCCTTTTCTGTCAGACATTTTTTGTTTGACTTTTCTATTTCTCACTGTGAAGTTCGAGAGTGTAAAATATGTATAGGATAAGGATATCTTGCCAAATATAACAATTCATGTTGGTACAACAAATGAAAATTTCTTTCTTTGTATTGCAAACTTTTTACAAATTATAGCCATTCATTGAATATTAGTTACCAGATAAACGATATTTAACTGTCCAACAAGGAACAACCTGTAAATGATACCGCTATATACACTTGACCTAGCTCCTCGTTCAAATATTTCATTACTTTTGTGACAGATAATATTTATATATTCTACCCCTGTACCTATATATTTGCACATGAACATGAAACACTAGTTTATTCATTATGGTTGCCTCATGATTTTTTCGCAGAATAATTTAAATTGTGAACCTTCCCGTGATCACAGTTAAAGATATCTGCATTAGTAATTAATTAGGCCTGGTAGTACAGTAGTAAGTTTGTCTTCAATGGATGATGTTTGAGCTGTGAAGGTGGTAAAGGTTAGTAGCCTAGATTATTAAGCAACATGTAGACACAGAAAGAAATGCTACAGCTAAAGAAATTTGTCCAACCACCATACATTTTGAAAATTCTCTGTTTTCAAAAGTCTTCGAAAACACCATGAGTTGAAAAGTTACTTTTTATACGATAACTGAAACAACGTTTCTGGTGTTATTGGAAGACAAATATTCCATTTTGACAGAATTAAGTCGCTGAAAACGAGGCTGTCTGTCAACGAACGGTGATTTTTTTAAATAACTCGGAATGTTGTATTCTCCTCTTACATTAATACACAGTATTTTACACAACAATCTAACCTTTAATCTTGTATAGAATAAATTAGAAAAGTTTTAATTTAACATGCAACTAATAGATTAACAGTTCGAAATCGTACTATTATTTTGAATCCAGTAATTTGAATTGAAACAACACTAAAAGGTAAGTACAACACAAAACGGTTGTATACCTATGGTGAAATCTTTCCGATAGAGTACCGCTGCTCCTTCTGGTATTAATTTCACCTTAACGCATGGCACTTCTAACTTCCACACTTTCAAGCAGAGTTAATGAAGTCCGGCTGAAACTTACTGAGTTAATCATTTTAACAGGCATAACAATTTATATATTACTATACAACCATGTAAGTAACCTTTTTGATCAGCATTATACGGTTTCGTGTAAGATATGGATACAATATAAAGCCCTTAAATGCTTCTCGATACACTTATTGAAATTTTGTGTTATACTATTTTTTCATCATAAATTTAAAGCACCGATAGTTAGCAACTGTATCTTTTTTAGACGGAAAAACTATCAAAAACATTGGTTGGTGTCATTGTTTACTAGGAAATTAAGTATAACACAATAAACTAAAATTCCAAATTCGATAAATATTGTAACTGAAAGCATGATAGTAACGAACCTCAAACTTGGTTGAATTGCGATTTAAACAAGGTCAAATAAGCTCAGTCACTGGATAAATGATGATAATGACTGGAACTGTCCCTATCCACAACCATCAAACGTTATGACCGTTCGTCACCACCGCGTGACACCGTGGGATCACCGTGTTGTTACCTCTATAAATATCACTTCTAACTTTTCTAGCTGTGAATACTTGCAGTCGTTTCGTATTTGATACTACGTAACACTTTTGATTTGTTTTTATGAACGCTGGATATAAAGACTGTTTAATACGATTTCTTTTGTTTCAGAAACGCATGGGAGATAGTTATAATAAGATTACTATAACGTCAACTTCTTAAATTATGAAAATATTCATGAGTATGGGTAAAAGCTTGTGGCAAGTGGCAAAGCATCTGAAATTACAAGGAGGTTGTCACAACTAATCTCAACGCAGTTAAACAAGTTTAAATTTATTTTTCAATTGTAATAACTCTACATTTCATTGCAATGTTCTTATACATATATATGAGTAATTATTTTTGTTCTTCTAATAAATGTAATTTTGATTTGATTATGTTAAATAACCACGCTCCAAAACGTAGTGTTGTCCCATAGTATATAAATATCATTTTAATTATTCCCTTATGTAAATTCTTGCAGTAAATTCGTATTCTTTCTATATGCAACTTACAATTTGGGATGATAATAATATGGAAAATTGAATCATATAAAGGTTGTCAAGATAAACCATGCTGAGGTTATGATAAAAATGTGTTGTTTCTGGACGGCAAATGCTTTTGAATATTTGTAAAACCCAAGAAGGATCTATATTTAGAACTACAAGAACTTTTTACAAATAACTTCAATGAGAAGTCAAAATGGAAAAACCAAGCCCTGAACATTTAATGGACAAAGGCATTTTACGATCCACAAGATAATTTATCTGAGGGTTTGTTTAAGAAACGTAGTATATGCCTGTTTAGTGAATAACTAAACCTAACCCGTGTTAATTATAACGACTACTCTTTTATTAATCTGACAGTATGAAAACCCATTCTATAACACAATGGAAAAGAACAAGACCTGTATAATTTGGGTATTTTAACTGTACATTAAATAGACATAAGTAGAAATTATTGAGTGAAATGATTAAAGTGAATTTGTTATATATAGTCATTTAATCATTATCCTAATTAAAGAAAAGCAGCAAAAAATTTACTCGCCATTGAACTTGTTGGGAAAGAAGTAAAAACGTCAAATCATAGATGCATTTGCGTGCTAAGCAAACCATCTCCCGATTGTTCATGCGATAGAAAAATGTTTGTAGCTTGTTCGAACAACAAAAATACGATCAAACATAAAAATGTTGTTTTGAATATGTTTTGATTTCATAATAAGTTATTATTAGCACAACTACAAACGGGTTGTTCTGATCACTTATACGGTCCGTGAGACTACGGCAGCAATTATTCCAGCCATTGTCAGTGAGTGTTCCACTAGGTTACTGATTAGCAGCGTTTCACCAATTAGAGAACAATAATGGTCCCTCGTCTGTATGTGAGGAGATGTAGGCCTATCATTACTTGTTTTCAGTTAGCAATCTTTAAAAATATATTTCTGTAATCTTTGTGTCATATGCGTATGTTTAAGTACAGTTTGAGTTAGAATTTCAAGCATTTGCTGTTTAGAGGTTAGTTTACCCTACAGTAACCGTCAACGAGATAGTTAAATAGTCAGGTTTCCTATTGATCAGATTGATATCTAACGTTTGGCTAATATTGGTGATCATGAGCTACTGACAGCCCTTGGACCTTTGGGTATGACTTTGGGTATAGTTATCCCACTATCGATCCAAACCAAATTTTAAATTTCCTTACACTATTTTTAATTACTTTGTTTTATATTGGAATTTTATATTAATTAAATTGACTGTAAAATTAACGGCCAATGAGTTGTTGTATAGTAGTACATTTCCATGTTTTAAATTAACGTGAAAGAATTAAACGTGATTTTTGTTTTGTTTTATCTAATGTGGTGGGATATTATCTGGTAGATTCTTTAAATTATGAGCCGAATATGCCTGATTGTTATTTCAAGCGATAGATGATCTTTAGTAATTCATCGTCCAAGCAGGTAACTAATCTTGGTTTGGGTATAGTTATCAGTTTAAGAAATATTCTATATAGTGTAATTATCTTTTGATACATCCGAAGAATTTGATTTGTAAAATTGAAATTTCTAATGGAAACATTATGCTATCATGGTAAAATATGATTTAATAGCTTCTTAATCAGCATTGCACGTGTAATTATATTTACAGAAAGTATATTAAAATGTATAATAACACCCTTAACACTTAACGTTATTAGACTTATTTGTATTACTTACAGATTAATCTATAAGTTATCGTCTTTAAACGGTCAACACGTCAAACACGGTCAAAAACACGTAAATATAACAGTTAATTCTTACTATACTTTATTGGATGGTATTAGTTCACCTTTTTGCCCAAATTACGTCATAAAACTGTTATGAACTTTACTGACATTCTTCCTCCTAAATTAATAATTGCACTTACCGCAAACATAAATTTACTAACATATCATGTTTCAGAAGATGGCCTGACGAGAATCAATGCCTTTCATCTTGGGCAGTAAGGTAAGCAACTTAACAGTAATATTAACATCGAACGGACAGAAACATGAGTTTTAATATTTAAATTGTAGTCAATTTTTAGGAGGATTTATGTCTCAATTCCCCTCAATACGCATCTGGTAGATTTACGATCTTGGTATAACTACTTGGTTCCACTATAAGTCTTGTCTTAGCAAAGTTCATGAAATTTGCATTTGGAGACAATTTGTGCTGACTGAGTCGTTATTATCTGTGGGAAAATTAGAAGTTTTTTAAGGATGTAAGCTATATAATAAATTAAAATCCACATACATAGTTGCACCATTACTATCGAAACTGTATGTAAGAAATTTCAACCGTCATCCGTGATTATTTAAAGCTTCAGACTCTTTTCTGTGACACACAGAATAAATCTGAGTCAAATTATTATTAATTTTAGTATCAAACATACATTTTTCTATGTTGGTGGATAGATTTTAACCCAAATAGGTCAGAAGCCCCGCGCTCGAACCAAAATACGCACCCATACAGTTAGATGCTTACTCTGTACATAAGTATTCCTCGCTCTAATCCTGGACTTTGGGACCGAAGTTTTTCGTTCTACCACTAGACCAGCTCGTTCCCATATTACTTAGGTTTAGGGTACGTGTTTTCTAATAAAGTCCAGAGAAATGTTTGAAATTATATTTACTGCTTCCTGTTTATACGTCATATTAACCCCTACTCACACAAAACCCATTTTGAGTTTGTATGAAAACATGTGGAACACTAATGATTTAGATCGTAGAATAACGTGATAAACACTGCGGGAAATGGCTGTGGTAACGATGCCACATATTATTGGTAAATATCAACAGGTAACAGAACACAATGGGCCACGAGCTCCAGCTTCTCTTGAGGGAGTTACATTGGATTATGACAGCTCAAGCCAACTCCCAGGATTCCTATCAAATACCTTGTACTAGTACTAATCTAAATTCCAAATGTTAATCAACTGAATTAGTAATACCATCTTTAATATTCTGCACTGAATTATAATTACTCATTTGGGCATGTTGAATTTAGAATATATTTGAAGTAAATATAGTCATTCCTAAAATTACTACTTTTATGTTAATTGATAAAGTGGACTGTATTTTATAGATAAGAACAAAATAATTCAGGATTGAAAAAATAGTAGAATTGCATTTAATGAAAGAAACGTGTAGAATGAGAATATAAACATTATCAATAATAAAAAATCTGGTATTGACGTTTAAGATCTGGAAAGCAAAGTGTTTAAAAAAGGTAAAGCTGATTATAAGTACTTAACACTGCTGGACGTTCTTATTTAATGTGTTTTACAAATGTATTAGTAAAACCTTTAAAATGTACTATACTGTTTTAATGTAATGAGTTTATTTATTTCCTTCAATAATTTTCTTTTTAGTTTGTGTTTCTAAAATCAACCAGATTACCATGTAATGATTTATACGTTGTTCTAAGTATAAAATTATAATTAGGCTTTTAAAGCCTACCAAAGTGTATGAGTTCTACACATTTCTTGATCTCCTACGTATGCTTCATTCTTCAAAAGCGTGTTTCCTAATATGACATTTAATTTTTGAACGACTTATACCACGACTCCTTGCTTTAATTTATAACCAATATTTTGGGTCGTACTGTACAATTGTGCTATAATCTAATTTAATCGTTGATGCATTATATTTTAGATGTGAAAAAAATTATCTTACCGAAATTTCTTCCAATTTTAATATTTTTCATACAAAGTTAATATAAAAGGCCCACATACTAATTTAAATGTTTCATGAACAAACTATTTATCTTCACCGGAACGACAGCGTTCTGATGGAATTTCCTAAACAAAACGTCACTGAGCATGTTCAATGATAGCCTGTGTTCAGTAAAATAAGCGTGAATGTGCGTATGAAGGTGTATTCATGTGTTTAAACCATGAAAAGGCGGGGTTGTGGGGATTGAATGCCGTGCCTTCATCAGTGTTCAAATCAGCTCAATACGAAATTTCTCGTGCGTAGCATTGGCTAGAGTTGTTTTATTTGATTTTTTAGACGACTCAATGAAAACGAAAAGAATGGTTTAATTTATTCCCTGCATTTATTTATCTTGTGTTAACTAAATAACTAAATTCTTGGTCACTTTTGTCGACATTTTTATTTATTTACAAGAGTATGTTTACGGCTGTTTTCTAAATACGTATACACGAGCAGAAAATCTATGGCTTTAAAATTTACAAAAAACAAGAATGATTAATTAAATTACAACCGCCAATCTCCTACGGTAGAACAAGTTAGTAGAAAGAAACATTCTCTTCTATTACAATATTTACTTACTGAAAAAAAATCTATTTGTTTTATGAAATTTGTCGTCCACCCAACGCACCCTGTATCAATAATCCTATAAAGTAATTGAACATGGCTTCCTATAAATATTGCTTCATATAATTCAAAAGCGGTAGGCCTACAACATATTTTTAAGTATCATTACTATTTGTTTTTGGTTTGAGAATTGTAAATTATTCATTTTCAAATATAGATAACTGTGTAATTTCATCACAACCATGTACACCATGTGTACATAGTGCACACTGAGATGTCAGTGTATGAATCAGTGAAAATATTGCAAACCAACCTATAATGATTACAAAATCATCAAGGTTCCGTCATGAAAAAGCAAAAGTACGTATTTGGTACAGATATGTAAAAACCTCATTTAGTACAACTTTAATACTGGGGGTTGTATATTCAGATCTTCAGTTTTATTTTGAGCGTATATTTATTTTCTTCTACCACATGTTATGATATAATCTCATGATTTAGAAAGATCTCAACCTCAAGTAGCGCCTGGATATTGAACAACAATATCAAACTACATTTCATTTTTATTGGTTTTTCTCTTCCTCAAATAAACATAGCGTTTACGCAATATAATATAGAATTTAAAGTTATTTTAGTTCTCCTTATTTCTACCTAATTCATAAAAGCACCGTTTTCTTGCGTCATGTAGTATTTATGCAATCAGAAAACAAGTCATCAGAATTGATGGGTTAAATCAGGCAAGTATAAAGTAAAAATTGAAAATAAAGCTTACTGTGATCACTATTTACCACAAATATCATAATCATTCTTTTTGAAATTTGAAAAATTTTTATTCTCCTCATTCATGACGTTAAGGGGATACACCACTATTTATAGGCTGATTTTTCGATTTTTATAACATTTTTCAAAAGTTATATTTTTAACTTAAGGATATAATTTTTAATATTTATATGCAATTTGATGTCGATCTGCAAATATTTTCATGAGAAAATTTTTAAAAATATGTGTTTTGCAATTTCACAAATTTTCAACATTGTTGGTTCATTATATATTTTTACTGTATTGTTTTTACAAACTTAGGTAAAGTAAACCTTTTTGACATTAGTAGATTATTTTAGAAGTTATTTGAAAAAAAAATATTAAAAGAATATATTTCAAAATATGAAAAACATCTATAACCATAAACTTATTTAAATATACAATATATTTCTGATCAAATCTTTTATTCAGCCATGTATTGATCAAAAACTGATAAAAAATACATAGAAAACGATATTAAACGAATAATTTATTTTCCATTTATTTCATTGAAATGTGACCTATATATCTAAAGGTCTAATATTAAGAGTATTCATTCATTACTAATAAGATAAAACTTATCTGAATTTAGTAAAGGAAGTATGATGCTGGCCTAAAATAATTTATAGTACATCATATTTAATTAGGTTTTATCTATATAGCTAAGAAACCTAATCAAATATTTTTAAATACATATAGAATACAAATATAGAAGGGGGCTTCATTTTGCGTTGAGACTTTAATTACACGTTGGGTGTTTTGCTAGGCAAGCGTCCTGGATGTGAATAAAGGTATGGCTGAATCCATTCATGGATGATGTGCCACATGACTGAAGAATTTGAATAGTTGTCCTGTTACAGGAGTTCTGTAACACACGGTGTGCAAAATGATCCTTGGAAATGACTTACACACATACCCACTCATTTACACAGGGATGTAACGGAAACCTAGAATAATGACCACATTATAGGACTAATTGAGCTTCCTAATCATACATCGACTGTTCTTATAGTAGTAGAGGAACACATCACTTTGTATGTGTGACTTTCCAGCCAAATTCTTTGTATAAAGTGAAACTGTACCGCTTTGAAAATGTAGTTTTTATTACGTAAGCTATGCAGTATTGTATGGTCTAACATAAGCATATTGATATGTAGCTTGAAAAAAACAGTCTGTAATATTTTGTTAACTCCAAAAAATGTAATTGAATCTCAAAGCATAAAACCAGGGGTAGGCTAGTTTTAATGAACAACAAAACCTAGGGTAGATTTACCCTAAACATTGTATGTGGTCAAAAGAAGGCCTGATATCAATAACTTGGTTAGTTTAACATAAGTTAGAAAATAATAATATATAAACCGATTGAAAAAGGCACTTTTGAATTTTTTCTGAGTACAGATATGCTGGCAATCGCTTATTTATTTGTAAATATTTATAACGGTAGGTTTTAAATATCGTGGACATAGGTACTAAAACTAGGTAAGAATAGGGTTTAAATGTCAAAATAACTGGCTGCAATACAAAACTATTTACTGATTACAACCATTTGAATCGTGTTTAAAGTGTTTGATCAAAAAATTAATTATACTACAATGACTTCTGTGGATAAATATAAACGTCGTCTGTAAAATTATTTCTCGAGAACTTAGTAAACAACCATTTAACTCATGATTAACAAGTAGATGATTTAAAATTACGTTTTACTTTTTTAAATTGGATAAACATGTTTTCTTCAATGGGGGTGCAGTTAATTACCAAAACTATCACTCTTAACATAAATCCGTACTAGCAGTGAAACCTAGTCCAGATTTATAATTTGATTTCTAAGCCCCTGTATAGTTAGACAGACCATAGAGAAGTAAATGTCCATTTAAAACTATCCACTAATTG